GGCGAAACTGATTGCAGGGCTTTGGTCTGTGAGCCGTTTAAGCTGTAGAGTCATTTAAACAGCCTGAATTTCTCATAATAATCCTGTTATCTGACTAACAAGTGGATCAGTCAGTACCACCAGTTCGTGAAAATGATGAGACAAGTCGACAGAACCGAAAACCATGGCTCTTAGTTAAATAAGCCATTTCAAACGGTTAGCAATTAAACCACCAGGGCCCACCATCACGTTTCTCCTGAGCGGGTGAACCGGTTCAGATTTGGGACAAAAATTAAAGCAAGCAGCCACAAACAGCTCAGTTCGAACCAATTAATACCTCAATACCTTCGAGCAAATGTTACAAGTCTCCATGACCGTCTCTGTACTACAAACAATGTGCTAAGCTTGTGAAGCTTGGCTGTAGCACCGTAGAGTTTGGCTCCGTCAGTGTCGACTTTGTTCATTGTTGTGTTTTCGCCGACATGTCAAACATGGGGAGCACGCCGAGCAGACGTCCCTGCTGCTGACCTAACACACTGTCTGAGGCAGTGACGTTGGGGACAAAGCTTGATCAATACGGCTCTGGGGCTAAGGTTAGATACTGGGGCTTAGGAGGGTCACCGGCCGGCCAGGGCAGTAGAGGAGGTCACTGGATTGGGTAGGGCACAACTCAATAGAGGTCACTGAGCGGATCAGTCCAGTGGGGGGTCACTGGGCGGGTCAGTATCGGGTCACTGGAGCACTGGACGGGACAGTCTTCAGTGTAAGGCCATATTGCCGAGGCAGTCCTGACTGTCCAGTGGAGGAGTCACTGTGAGGCCAGTGAGGGGTCACCGGGCGGGACAGTTCAGTGTCGGGTTCACTGGGCGGGGCAGTAGGCAGTCCAGCGAGGGTTCACTGGGCGGGGCAATGGGCAGTCCAGTGAGGGGTCATTGTATGGGGCGATATGGTCAGTCCAGTGAAGGTTTACTGGGCGGGACAGTTAACTAGGTGGGTCAGTGGGCAGTCAGTGAGGGTCACTGTGACTTGTGAAGCCAGTGTGGAATCACTGGGCGGGGCGATACTCAGTGTGAAGTCACTGGGCGGGGGATACTCAGTGAGGGTCACTGGGCGGGGCAGTGTGGAGTCACTGGGCGGGGCAGTATGCAGTAGAGTGAGGTTCACTGGGGGGGGGGGGCAGTGGGCAGTCCAGCGGATGTTCACTGGGCGGGGAAATCGGCAGTCCAGTGAGGGTCACTGGGCGGGGCAGTGTGGGGTCACTGGGCGGGGCAGAGTGGGGTCACTGGGCGGGGCAGAGTGGGGTCACTGGGCGGGGCCGGCGCCAGACAGGCGGATGGTCTGGTCGGCCCGGATATTTCCCGGAGCCGGGTGGCGCTGCCCCGCTCTGTTATCGGACATGACTGACCCGCTCGGCCATAACCCGGATTAGGGGAGCGCTGGGGACGACCAGGCTCGCCGGACTGAGGGAATGGTCGCGACGCTAAGACGGGCTCCGTCGACAGACAAAATCCAAACAGAAACCGTCTGCGGTGGCCGTCGTTCGTCGACAGTCGAGAATGAATTCAATATTTGTTTTTACCGAACTGGATTTGACTGATACCGGTTTAGCGTAAAACAAGTTTCTGAGCACCTATTTTGATGTTTGAATGTTCAATAAATTTGTGGGCTTTCATCAGACTTCAACGTTTTGGTTGACCTTGGCATGCAAAATAAACAATTGGAGCTGTTCAGCTATTGATCACTCATCAGCGTGCTTGCGTACGCAAAGCATACCGGTAACCGGACCTTATCCACTTGCAAACGTCATGGAACTGACCTTCCATGCAAACATTGAGTCACTCGTCACAGTTGCCAACAACTCGTCGCGAGACAGACTCGTCACGAAAAGTCCCACACAAAGAACACCAACAGTTCAGCTAATCCATCGTCAGTACCTTTTCCTCGGAGTTCGAACAAGGTAAAATCAAAGCCAAAAGTCATACTTAATACGGTGAGCTTCCGGCTTCAAGCCTTCGTCAAACCAACAAAATGACTCAATGATTCTTCACATATTCATGCTCGCTATGTTCCTCACAAAAGCACTTAACATCATCATCAGTCCCCTTACGCCGCTGAGGGTGTCCATTTTGGTGCACATTCCCTCATATCGACCGACCTCCTAGCACGACATTGGACATTTGGAACCTTCACACTCCCCCCTAGCATCATGAAAATGACAGCCGGCCAAGTAAAATCGACTAAAACGAGGTGATTTGGCGTGCACTTGCACAGCGGTGCTGAGTGTTGCCAGGCATCTGGCATCGTTGGTACGTCGGACCTCGTTGACCCCGTTCCGTTCCAGGTGTGATGGTGTGGCGATTAGAGCAAAACAGAACGGTAAGTCGTCACAAACATGAGCGGAGCCAACCGAGACAGTAAACAGAGGAGCGATGGTGGGGGCCATAACACGCAGATGGTGATCGTTTCTGAATCAAAACCACAATATTGAGTGAATAATGATTGCCTAATACCGACGCAGCAAATGGGTCAAGTGATTCATCAGTGACCATCACCACAAAACTTGATGCACACACGAAAACTTTGCATAAGTAAAAGACTTTAATAGGCTATGCCTTTACATTAATATTGGTAAATTTATGGAAACATGTGCAGTGTGCAATGTGCATTTTATTATGCAACAGGAACGAAACACAGCAAAGCAATTAAATTAGTACATGCTATTCAACATCAAATAGCTATCAAACTTGTAAAACGGGCTGAAATACCACCTGCACAACACACCGAGCACATTGTCCACCTGTTTCTGTTATTTCCAGAGTAGTCGTTCGCAGCTCTAGCTAAATACCCCGTAACATTTTAGACAAACCACCAGTTGCGGGTAAAAGAAGAAGGCACTATAATCACATAAACACCAAACGAGTCTAGCACATTCAAGCCATTTCCACAACCACCTCTGCCCCTCACCATTCCCATTACAACGTCCACCTACTGCGTGCCACTCTGCGTCAAATCCGAGGGCGTCAGCGTGTCCTCCCTCTCATACACAGTCGGCTGGGAGGCGATCCGGACGCTCTTCGCTCCATCGGCCGACGGCCTACGGGTCACACTGGGACTGGCTCGCGGCTCGAACCCGGTCGGTCGGCGCCGAGAGAGGTCAGAGGTGACAGAGGAGCGCCCGGTGTCCTCCCCGCGAGGGGAGAGCGAGTCGGCAGTGCCCGTGAGCGGCGCCAGCTCCTCTGAGGTCGCCTTGGCGCTGCGGTGGCGGCGATCCATCCACCATTGCACGCAGTACAGGCTGAGAGCGATACACACCACGCCGACAATCACAGAGCCGATGGCGAGGGTGAAGAGCCAGTTGGAGGCGGCGCGGTTCTGCGCCAGCTCGTCGGCCGGACGCACCACCTTGATGTTGCACATGTGGTAGACGGGAGGCGGCGCCTGCGCGGAGGCGCGGTCCAGGTGAGAGGACATCCAGCCGCGGTCACAGACGCACCAGAGGTCGTCGTCGGGCCGGCCGTGGTGGCACTCCACCTTCTGCGGCCGGTTCTTGTCGAAGCGGAGCACCTCTCCTTTGGCGGAGTCGTGAAAGAACTGAAGGTCCTCCTCGGTGAGGGCGGACATCAGCTGCCGGCACTGGTTACTCTCCGGGACGTAGGCCATCGTTGGCAGAGCCCCCGGGTTCTGCGGCTTGGCCGAGTCGCAGCGCGGCACCGGCGTGCAGCGCAGCTTGGACGGGTTGAAGTAGTTGCGGTGGCCGTTGTACTTGTGGAAGCAGTTGACGGCGGCGCAGGCGTTGAGTGGGTCCTGGTCGACGGACACGCAGCTGCTGACATCGTACGGGGAGTAGTAGTCCTCCATGACGGCCGAGACGGGGCCGTAGCGGCTCACCGTCGTGTTGAACTGGACCGTGTGCTGGAACGAGTGATCGTTGTAGCGGATGGTGATCTCGCACTCCCCCACGCGATTGTAGATGTAGAGGTTTGGGTAGAGCAGCGTGATGTTGGTGGTGTGACCCGGAGTCAGGATGCCCATGTAGCCACCGATCAGCACCATCGACTCGCACTCGGCGTCCTGCACTGAAAAATGCTGACAGCAGAGTTTCATCTCCGCTCTCAACTCCAGCGGTCCGCCGCCGTTGTTCAGCACCGTCAGGTAAAACGTCAGGACCATGTCGTTTTTGTGAAGAGGCATTATACCCTGGTCCTTGATCAGTATGGGCCCGGCCTTGCTCTCCGTCTGTTTCGGCGTTGGCGGCGCCGGCTGGTTGGTGGCCGTATCGACCGGCTCGGGAAGGTCGGGCAGACCCGACAGTTTCTCCTCCATCATCGACGTCACCGTGCTCGACATCAGCGCTGACATCAACGCCAGTGTCTCCAGCAGGCTCAGGCGTGTCGTCTTCATCGGAATGAGGCTTTGATGGTAATGGCTTCGCTACAACAGGGTTAACTTTGAGGCTTTTCAATAAAAGGTTGTCGAGAATATCGCATGCAAACACTGTTCTTTTTCCTCACCGATTCTCCTCTCACAGTCACAGACACCGACTTTGTTGTTTTGAGAAATGTTCGCCGAAAATTGGCGAAAATGAGTAACATGGAGATTCAAGGCATGGGCATCGTATTGGATTGATTATGGCTGATTACGAATTATTTGGGAAAAGCTCGTGCTTTTAGTTGCAGGCACTTGGCATGCTCGTTGCCCATTTCTAGATGAACGCACATAAGGAGTGCCACAATGAACCTGGCTGAATAACTCCACATCTTCAGTCGTGACAAGAGTGACTGCTAAGGAAACAAACGAAAAACACACACGCTCGACACCTCCCACGTAGTTTGTGGCCTTGCCTCTCACCCCACACCTGTCTCCTCTCGAGTCGCCACCATCCTCCATCACCCGCTCGCACCCCTTTGCGGGCCGTCCGCCGCCCCAGCACTGGTTGATGACGTCACAGCGCCCTGGCGTTTGACATGCCGCTGCTATAAATGCGCCTCGGGCTACTGGCCGCCGGCGGTCGGCGGTCGCTCAGTTGGCCGGTGGACGCCGCGGGTTGGACGCGTGGTCGGGGTGTGGTCGGAGGGGCCCTGACCCAGTCGGGGACGCTGAGGTTTGATGGTGTGACTCGGTGGTGTGGAAATACAGGAGTGCGATTTAACCTGAACGCCGCACCTGGCGTGGGAGTGCGCCGAGAGCTCAGAGATAAACAAAGGTGACGGTTTGCTGATGAGCGTGGTGATAAGCGTTGAGGCCGCGAAGGCGTGATTGGGCTAGTGCGGCTGGCAGTGGTGGTGGTGCCGGGTGACTGTTAGATCTCACACCGTGCAAAGACCATACCGATTAAGAAGTGATCGCGTCCCGAGTGACCCCTAGGAAGGACAATGACCGGCACAATACAGCCGACGCCCCCGCCGCGGCGGAAAAACTCCTCGGAGGTGACGGCCACGCCGCCGCTGCCCCGCAGGAAGGACTCTGGTGACCATGCGGCGGCCCCCAGCCGGCCGCGGCCTCCCAAGCTGAACGTGGTGGCCGCGGCGGCGGCGGGCGCGGCCGGGGCCGGGGTCGGGGTGTCCACCGTACCACACAACAGGCAGGACCCGGAGGCGGGCCGGCCAGCCCAGGAGCAGCCGCAGACCGAGGCCTGGGGACTGACGATGCCGGCAGTGCTGTCCAGCATGGACAAGACCAAGGTGGCCAGCTACCTCCAGAGTCGCATGAAGGACGTCAAAGACGGCGCCTTCCAGACAGCCAAGAGCAGCCTCAGCTTCGGCGAGCGCTTCACCCTCGCCATGCTGGACAAGATGAAGCGCTGGTCGCGGCGCGGCTTCACACACATCTTCCTCTTCGTCGTGCTCATGACTTACAACGCCATCGGCGCGTGCATCATGATGATTCTGGAGAAGCCGGAGGCCAACCAGCACAGAGACTTGGAGGAGCTGAAGCTGGAGACGGCGCAGCGGCTGTGGAACGTCACGTCACAGCTCAACAGATTGAACAGCGCCGCGTTCACGAAGGTGGCGCAAGACGAGCTGAATGTGCTGCTCAACGTCTCCTGGCAGCAGTTTGACCTGCGCCGCTGGCACCCGGACCCGGACGACAACCCCTGGGGCTTCTGGGGCTCCCTCTTCTTCTGCTTCACCATCCACTCCACCATCGGTAAGTGGACCTGGCTTTCTTCCGGTGCAGTTCAGTGGTCGCTTCCGAGAGCCGGAAGTGGGCACATCTATATTCGCCGATTTCGATGCTGCTGGGTCATTGCGCCGTAGAGGAGCCGAAGGGTCTGCAGGCTTTGTTTTTGTGTAGAATGTTTTTTTTCGTTGAAAAGCCGGCAAACAATGTGCATCATTTTCGTAGAAGTGAAAAGGCTGACGTTATGCGAGGCCTTTTCCAAGAAGCATGCTTTTGCTCCAAGCTTTTTATTCCAAGCCTTTGATCATGCCAGTGGGCAGCTTAGTTATCTACAGGCATGTGCATGTATATGGGCAGCATTAAGCATATGTATGTAGATCATTACTTGATAACTCTACATAGGAACACGCTGGAAATTCAGCCAGCATTTTACCTTAACAGCTTAGTACCATACACCACTTGCAATATTTAGTGGTTCAATTCTACAACTGACATGCAATAAGATTCTCATGAATCATACCAAAAATTAATGCAGGGCAACAACATACCATCAGCAGTCGTACAATTTTGATGAGCTTACAGGGAAAAGAAAATACCGATGACGGACAGGCGGGAAGATGCACATGCAGCAAAACGTATTTGATTAGGCATTGTACGATATCAGCGACTGAGATGCTAAAGAAAACTCGTGATATCTGCATCCACCAAAAGACTGGTTCGTATGACCTCTAGCCCAGTGTCTGACGGAATCCGACACCCGGAGCCGGTCACTTGATTACCGGTAGGGATATTTATCAACGCTGCCCCCGAACTGCAGAAGCTGACTTCAGTGAAATGATGCAGAAGTGATACAGACGTCCGCGATCATGTTTGCTTACCAACATTGCTGGCCTTGGAGATTCAAAATTCACATATACCTAGTATGTTGCGTGGGTGTTTTTGCTTACAAAAGTTGCACATTGCTCAGCGATCATGGAATCATCAGTCATCGAGTGAGTGGGTGTGTTTATAAATATAGTTTGTTGGTTTCCAAAGCCCTCAAGTTGCGATTTGTTGCGTGCGATTATGATATAAAACATCATCAGAAGGAATCGCAAATATTCATCCACCATTCCAGGGAGTGGAATTGATCGCTGTGAAGCAGCGCAAAAGACTCGGCGTGAGCTCTGCACGACCGGTGCAGAAACGGCACCGAGCTGACTTCCTGAAACCCACAAGGCACAAACAAAGCTAGAGTTCAATTCCCCTAGCGCAAAAATAAACCATTACAATCGCAGAGTCAACATCTTAATTACTTAAAACCACTAAAGCTTCTCGAAAATCGGCCAGTGCGGACAGTGGCTCTCGAGTTCCGCGTATCGCTTGACACGTTTCCCTGAAATTGCCCGGCTCACTGACTCATCACATCATCAGTTCTGGCGGTGCGTCGGGCGCGGGCGGGTCCGCGACAGCCGACCCCCATACCGACTTGATCTCTGCCATCGCCGAGCGATCCGAGCGCGATGGAACCCGATCAGCTGTCTGGGCCGTCTAGCCGATGTTTGGCTGGCCCTCTAACAATGTCGGCACATTGCGTGTCCCGGGCTCGCTGCCAGGTGAGGGGAGGGGCGCGAGGAGGGGCTGGCCCAGATCAGGCCGCAGCTGGAAACGTCGCTGAGCCTGCACGCGGCACGTGCCACGTGCTACACGTGGTCGATAGAAGAGGGATGGAGATAGGCATAGCGTTATGAGGCGAGGCCGCAATGCTTGAAGCCCTCATCAAGACGAAAAGTGGGCCAATGGTTTCATTTTATGACATCCTTTGTTCTTTTTAAATAAATGTACTTCCCTCGCGTTTTGTTTCGCCACCACATCACACAGACGTCGTGCGCTGCTGCATTGTACCCGCCACTCGTTGCTTGACCCAAGGAAGGAACACACTGCCCCCGTTCCACCAGAACGCTAAAGCACCGCCGGAACCGGACGGTGCACGGACGCGTTATTGCGGGGTGACATGACACGGCGGTGACAGGCGATAAATAAGGAAGCCCGAAAGGACTGCCAGCGGTGGAAAATTCATAACCCAGCATGGTTAGTCCGCGTATTGATTTGATGGTAATCTGAATTATATAAGGAGCTTCGCAGCTTGTGACTGAACCGACGCAATAATATGCTGGGTGAGCCATTGCCACGGTTGACATTGACATTGTGGCAGGTTCACACGGAAAGATCATGTGTCAAACTAGATAATTGATATAATCAAATGACTGAAATAGCGTGGTGCGTTGATGAGAACTACGCAACGACACACGTTGTCATCACTAATATCCTTTGTGCAAGGTCATGCATAACATTCATGCCTTTCAGTTACGATCGTGCCATTACAGTAACAACTCTTCCCGAAATGCGTGAGTTTATTAATGTCATTCGTCCTTATTGCTAATCTCGAAATATATATGGCGATTGGGTGACCCAGAGTTACTAGACAATGAACATATTCCAAACAGTTATCGAAAGTTATTTTTAGTTCATTTCACCAAGATAACAAGCGCTAGCAGCTCACCACACAACTACTCGTACTTACGAACAGCATGACTCTAGACATGGAACAGAATGTCATGACTGTTGACGGGGTGTGCGTGGTTGCATGACTGCAAAGCAGCTCCATGTGGAACACTTATACACACAGCCTATCGTTGGGGAGTCGTTAGTGAGTACTGTAACTGTCTGGCGTCTGGACGTGGCTCGAACGGAACGTGTCAACCGAAGAAGCGTTACTGTTGCATATGAGGTAAAGCTTTTGGCTACATCGTAGGTATAGCCAGACAAGCTGTTAAAATAATAATTACAACCCACTATAATTGTTGTGCATTGAAGCTAGCATTTGATAAAACGGTTTCAAATTATTCATAGAAATTCGCTAAGCCGGGTAGATATAACCCGCGCATGACTGGGGTATTTTCCATAACGCGAGTGACTGGGGGGGGAGGGCTCTCCAGAGCCCCCCTGCTATCTCCGAAACATATAAGTCTATAAGTCTAGAATCTAGACTCAATCTAGACTCTAGATTGACTCAGTCAACTTCGGATTCTATCGCAATAAGCATGCATAACGGCCTGCGGGGGCTGGCCGGCCTCATCGCCCGCAACCCACGCATGCGGCGCACAGAAGCCAGCGGGGGGCTGCTGGACGTTGAGCGCACTCCTCAGCGAGCGCTCCACGTTCATGAAGCTGTCGTTGTTTGCACACAGAAAAATATTGACACCGTTAGCGGTGTAATTGCACAGTACATATCTGAGCACTTGAGTAAAGTTAATTTAGTCCCTTCCCCGCTTGAATTACTCGCGCTTCTAAATGAACACCAGGAAGAAGGTAATAGAACACTGTTAGGAGGGTTGGGTGTTTTACTACGTGTAGCAAAACACCCAACCCTCCTAACAGTGTTCTATTACCTTCTTCCTGGTGTTCATTTAGAAGCGCGAGTAATGTAAGCGGGGAAGGGACTAAATTAACTTTCCTCAAGTGCTCAGATATGTACTGTGCAATTACACCGCTAACGGTGTTAACCTTCGCCCTGGTGGGGGGGGGGGGCCATTTTGGCCCCCCCCCCTGTGGTTTTTCAGCGATAACTCAGAAACCACTTGAGTTAGCGCCCTGAAACTTTGTATAGCTGTTTATTCAACATTTTTACATCATGTCCTTTTTTGGGGGGTTCGGGTCAGGTCAGGTCAGGTCACAAGGTCATCAAAACTGACACCACCTCTAAAAAAGTTCAAAGCTCTCTCAAAGGCACAGCTTTTATCCGATCGATGTAAAATTTACAGTACTTGAAGATGTCACCCAGCTCTACAAAATGGCTATCTCGGATTTTTTATAAATGTGACCTAAGGTCAGGTCAGGTCATCGCTGCTCCCCATTATAAGTCAATGGGAGAATCGAAAAGTAGTTGTTTTTCAGCTAAATCGGGCGTGATTGTTCCTATATTTCGTTATTGAAGTGTCTTGGGTCAGCAAATCACAGCCCATGTGAAACCATTTGCTTGTGACCTCGCTGAGGTCACGCTAGGTCATCTCCCTGGTCACCAGAGGTCACCAGCGGTTTTTCTGCACTTACTTGTTATTGAATAGAGATAGAGACTCCGTTCGACGTTTATCGTGTTTGTCTCGTCAATGCGGATCGAATGATATGCAGCATGACCTATTTCGGTAAGGTCATGACCTTGACCTGAGGTCAAATTTTCAAAATGACCTTTCGAGGTCAAACTATATATCATTCGACGCGTCTCGACGAGCCAAGCACGATGGTGCATGAATCGTTTCTCTATTTTCTCGTGAATGCATGCTATAGTTAAAAACATTTTCAACGAAATTTGCCAAGTTGACCTTGCATGACCTCTGTAGGCCAAACCGTTGAGCTGAGGTCAAATCTGACGAACCTTGGCGAAAGAGCTTGAAAAGAGCTATCGATTGCTTTTTTCCGCGGCTCTCTAGCTCTTCTAGTTTCCGAGCTACAGCGGAATATGTCCGGCAACACCGAAAACACTGAAATTTGACCTATGATGACCTCTAGCGACCTCAATATTGACCTTAGCGAAAAAATGACCGAAATACTTTCGAACGTACTTGTTATGGGCTTTCGTTTGCTTTTTTTCGCGTCTTCCTAGCCCTCTTCGTTTTCGAGTTAGACGGGGGGGGGTCATTTTGGCCCCCCCCCCCCCACCAGGGCGAAGGTGGCTCAGACCCACACCAGGGCGCGGGTTAATATTTTTCTGTGTGTGCACTCGGTTGCGCTCGGGCAGCCTCCCGGCACTGCTCTGCCAGTGCTCGGAAAGCAGCCACCACCTCCTCCGTGGCCCGCTGCGGCTTGCGGTGGGACGGGCCCCAGGACTATCGGCAGTGTCTCTGGGAGTGAGTCCCTAACGAACGCACAAACCACAAAACTTCGTTAGGTGCACCACGAGCGAATTTTGGGACATTTTGCCCATGAAAAAGTGGTTATTGAACGTGGTCAATTGAACATTGACTATAGTACCATTGACCAAATCACCAGTGCTCGCGTTATGCTGGTACACTGCTTACATACCATTCCAAAACACTGCTTCGTCATGCGAAACTGTCTGGCCCTATACGAAAAATTTCCGTAGTGTGAAGTCATTTCCCGTTTCTTCCAATTGACACAAAAGTTCCGGACCAATGCTGTGGAGAGGCGGGTTCTTTGTACATCTGATCAACAAACGGTCAAACGTGTGTAAAACAACTCTCAAACAGTGCCACCAAGTTCTTCCGGTGAAAGTAAATAAAACAGTCATGGGTCAGACTATCCCCCTCTCTCTCTCTTTCTCTCTCTCTCTCTCTCTCTCTCTCTCTCTCTCTCTCTCTCTCTCTCTCTCTCTCTCTGTCTGTCTGTCTCTGTCTCTCTCTCCCTCTCTCTCTCTCTCTCTTTCTCTCTCTCTCTCTCTGTCTCACCTCAACATATTTACAGCCTCAAAGTCTAATAAGGCTGGGGGGATCCAGAGCGTCGTAAGCCTCGTCGCAGCTGCGACGTGTCGCAAGTTGTGTAGTAAGTCGTTTTTGGAGGGATCAATTGATGAGTAGCGTTACTTAAGAAGTAAAGTCTATCGCAAAGTGCCTGATTTACGACACAACTTACGAATTTGAAATAGCAGTCGTAAGTTGTGTCGCAAGTTGATATGGCCTTGAGGGAGAGGTCACAGGTCACAGGTCATTGGGGTCATGGTTACGAAATTTGCATGGTACGTGGAAAATTGTTGAAACTTGAGATCCTGAAAATTTCGTTGCAATTCGTTGCCGCTAACGCGAGTTATAAAGCAAGAACCAACGGTTCGTCTATGAGGCCTCAATCCGCGCCAGCGAGAGTGTTGAACATGGTGCATAATATGTTATATTCACATTTATTGGGGTATTCATGGATATGAAGTAACCTAACACCATTCCAGCAACTACTGGCGAATCCAGAAAGGCGGTCTTGGACGTTGCGAGGGGCATCCCCCAAAAGATTCTCCAAATTCTAAAAACGATGTGTCCCAGATGACCCCCATGACCTCGAATTGATCTCTGTGATGACCCCAAGTTGACCTCTGTGACCTGACGTGTTCCAGATGACCTCCAATCAGGGTTGTGCTTGACTCATGAGTCGAGTCAGAAATTTGACTCAACTCTGACTCAAATGAGTCAGATTTGAGTCGAGTCGGATAAGATGTTGAGCTGTTGAGTTGAGTCAGAGTTGAGTCGGACAAAAATATTATGGTGTTGAGTTGAGTCAGAGTTGAGTCAGTAAAACAACTTTTGACATTGAGTTGAGTCAAGAACATTTAGGAACATGAGTCAGCTGACTCAACTTTTTAGAAACAATACATAGTATAAGTTTTTCATTCTCCCCCCGTTTAACAACTTAGGCCTGGCCCTGCTGCCGGATTTTTTCA